GTATGACCAAGACATGACTTTTTTCCCCACGGATTAATATTTACACTCCAGCCAAGACTGTAAAAGAGATTTTTCCAAGTTTCAAGTTTTACAGTGATCTTTCCAAAACAAAAGTGGATAAGTTTAAAAGGGAAAAAACAACCAGAAAAATGTGACCCATCACAACAAAATGAAAGTAAAGTGGCATCCTGCTCTTTCCTATACATGTATTGAGGGTTCAAAGTCGTATTGAAGTAGAGGTCAGTTTTGGGGTTTTGCAATATTTGCAAAGAGTAACCCGTCTCCTATTTAATTCCAAATATTTTGCAGGATCATATATTTAAACAATGTCATGTTCTCACTAATGTTTACGATAGCATTATTCGTGCCTGGTCTGAAATCTTAAAACAGTGTCGGAAGTAAAGACGCAAAGCTGCCAAAATAATGTCACATTGTCACCTTATACTCTTACGAAAAATTGGAAAGCTCTCATTCTGCTGGATTCAAAACTACATGTACCAATATCTCAATTTTTGAAAATTACGACTTACAGCTCATTTTGTGGTGACAGGTCTGCCTGGGTCTGATAATTAAAGGTTTATGCGGATCAAGTCAAGGTGGATTTGGGGAGTTCAGATTGGATCAAGTTGGATTTGATTTATATAGTGTTTCAGGTTAGTTTGGCCTGGTCAACCTAAACTAATGCAAATCATTACTGCAGACAACTCTGGCTCAGTATCAATTTTGGTTGCTATTTTCTTGTCACTCATCTGTGGGCATGTTTTAGGATGTGGTAATGGCAAGTACCTGGGGATCAACAAGCAGATCTACAAGGTGGGCTCAGACTGTTGCCCCAGCCTGGTTGCCATTGCCCACCGGGCCCATCATGAGACCATGGTCTGCGACAACATCCGCCTTCCATACCGCGACGACAGCTTTGATGCTGTTATCTCCATTGCCGTCATCCACCACTTTGCCACAGCGGAGCGCCGGGCCCAAGCACTGAAGGAGCTGGCCAGGATTTGCCGACCTGGTGGCCAGGTCATGATCTATGTGTGGGCAATGGAGCAGAAACTCAGAAAGGTTAGTTGAACTAGCAAACCATTTGTGAATAAACCTGGCTTATGAAGGCAACCCCCTGCTAAATTTCCAAATTCTACAAAGGGCCCATGCAACGCATGGACCTTTGGACCTTCACTAAACCCAATTAAAATGCATAGTTGTGTCTTGGTTGATTTTATGGTCAAATAAAAGTCAATGATGAGTCAATCACAGTCTCACAAATCATTCAGTCGCAAGTCCCACCACAAGCTGTTGAAATTAACTCTCTGCCATTCCTTTGTCAATGTTCATCTCTTGTTGCTTTAGTACTTTTTCATTTGACTAGACTTATGATTTCAATTGTACCTTGCTTCCAATTCAGTTGTTCTAGTTCCTGCATTTTAATAGACTGATTGCACCGGCTAAGTCGTGGGACTTACATGTAAAGTGGGTATCAAACATCAGAAAACATAGCATCCTGCTGTAGCCAAGTGTGTCAGAAGTGTCATTTACCAAAAATAAAGCTGACAGTTGGTAAAGTACTCAGACTACTGATGTGCTGAGCACTATACCGAAAATCGGCCTTATCATTGGTAAACGATACTTACAACATACTTTGCTATGGCAGGACACCATGATTATTGGTGTTTGATACCCACTATAGGTCATGTGACTTAGTTGGCGCAATTGGTCTATTGAGGATGACTTCAAATATATGTATGTCAACTTGCTGTGTTCGGCAACTCAAAGCCAGCAGGATTGATGTACCAAAGACAGATGAGTTTGGTTACAAACTTCCATTTATGCCATTCTTAGAATGTGACAAGTCTTACGATAAGTGCATTTACTTTTTTTTCTCTCATCTGACAGTTTGATGCACAAGATGTGTTGGTCCCATGGCACTTACAACCGAGAAAGCTCAAAACTCAAGGTGAGTTCTGACAGTCAAAATTGAATTTTTCAGAGTTCTGTTTGACGAAGAATTAACTCCCAAAATATGATGCAAATGCTGTAGACATGGTAGATCATGTCACAGTAAATTGAGCAAACCGCAATAACATTCCAAAGGCTTGCACGCTAAGTTTTAAGATTTTCCTCAGTTAAAAAAAATTGTAACTATGTAAAGAGTGTTCCCAACTGCACTGAAGTTCTAACATGACTGACATTTTTCTGTTTTGCTAACGTTTTGCTGTTGCCAGTTTCTAAATGTACTGACGGTACTGCAGAAATTGTCTTGCTGTACCGTCAAAGACAGTTTTCAGTGGGTGATTAACATGGTTCAGTTTCGTGACGGACTCTGAATCAGAACTGTAGAGATTGATGCATCAAATCAGTTTTCGAAGCCCGGGTGCGATCATTTGGACCGCTCTTTTATAACTTCCAATAACTTATCATACCTCATCTCTGAAAATAATGGATTTCTCATGGCTTAATTAAACAAGCTCTAACAACCTCAGTAAAGTTTTGAATGGGTACTTTGTTTTACTGAAGACTCAAGGAGATATGCACCACATCATTTCATTGGCTGTGGCTGCGCCGAGGATGTTTCCAGAAGGCTGACACCAAAATCCAAGATTCACAGCTACTCTACTGCTACTGGGAAAGGCATCTCTCGTCAAGGTAGAGCACCATTTCTTCCTCACCAGCACTCCACCGAGTTCATGAATGGATCTGGCAAGGCAAGTACCAAGCACACCAAAGAGCTTTTGAGAACCAAGTCTGATCAGAGCAATGAGCCACGTGGACACACAGAGAAGAACCACTTCAAGAGGTTGCTTCTCCCGGCCCGCTCCTCATCTGCCGATGAAGTCTTCCTCAACATAAGCAGGGAGCAGAATCGTATCACTTGCCAAGAGGTGTGGGTGAATAAGGCAAGAAAGCTCCCAGCCCACCAGTCTGCCCATGAAGTAGCCTGCCAGCAAAAGCGAGATTTGCCAAGGATGTTCTCTTTTGACGAGAGGCTGCCCAGGGAGCCAGTGACTGAGGAGACATCCTTTATGGGGAGCCTAACATCCACAGCCACTCAGTTACTTCGTGCAATATCCAGGCAGAGCAGCCTAGACATTGACAAGCAACCTCCAGCCAAGGAGTTGCCAGGTAAGGGTCTAGAGATGTCAACGTTCAGCAAAAATCAAATTTTCCAGCAAGCAGATAAACCTGTGTTGTTTGGGCATAGAGCTAAAACCATGAATTCCACACTTGATGGTAGCATCCAAGGTGTGAGGAATGGGTACTCTCAGGGAAATACAAGGAAATGTGTGATAGATGCAGTTGCAGAAGGTGATGTAAATGGGCATGCAACAGTAAACGGAGATAAATCTCTGCCACATAACCTTGACTCAAAGGACAAAGATGACAGACAAGACGATGCCCATAAGAAAGAGCCTCCCGATGAGGGTATGAAGGCCTTCAAATCTAAGACTTCACTCCAACTAAAACTCCTTCCAAATGTGCAGCCCATCGTGGGAATCAATTGCCTGACAGCTCAAGGGGAGCTGTACCACAAGTCCCGTTCAGTGCACGCTCCCCCTCACAGGAGCATCAGCAGGGAACGAGATTCCTCCGTCGACTCTGTCTCCTCCTCTGACGACAGCCTCACTGCCTTCCCCGTGGAACTGGCCAGCACAGATTCCTGCGACAGAGACCACACCAACAAAAGTGCAACCTACTCCCTCCCTGACAGTCCGTCCATGAAACATTGCAAACTAGGCAAATCGATAGCTTGTAATGAATCCACAATCACAGATATGGATGGCTCAGTTGCTGATGGTCAAGCGCCTTCACAGAGTCCAGTTTCATCAGATAGCGATCTAAAATCTGAAAGTACACTAGCCGAGTATGTTGTCCTGACACAAGATATGACGCAGTTCGATGACTGTGCTTCCAGTGGTCCAACATCCAATTCTAGTATTTCGAACGAGCACCCAAAAACACAAAATTCAACTTCTGCAGAAACAGATCTCGAGTGTGAGCCAGATTGCAAACCACCGGACAGTAGCACACTTCGTAAGCAATGCCAAGATTGCCACTCCTCCACTACCAACAGTTCAACTCCAACTAGTCCTTTGGCTGAAGATAAACCCATTCCAAAGAGTCCCAAAGTCCACCCTCCTCCAAGCAGCAAGGATGACCCCTCCCTGTATCTACGCTACTACCATGTGTTCCGTGAAGGTGAGCTGGCTGACCTCATAGAGGAACACGTGGACAGCCTCCACATCCTGCGCAGTTACTACGACCATGCTAACTGGTGTGTGATTGCAGAGAAAGTCCAGGTCTGGACGATATGACTGTCAGCTTGAAGTAAGCTCCTGTGTATCCAAGAGCAGACTTAGAAGTATTCAGAAGTCTGCCAACTGGCAGTCTGTGACCCAGTGGTAGCTTGATTACATTTTCGCACAGTACATTGAAAGTTAAATTGAGAGTGGAAAATTCTCTTAACACTTAAATCTCTTCCCAGGGAATTCATTTTCATTTCACAAATTTTCCCACCAGTGGGAAAAGATTTCCACAGATTTTCCCACCAGTGGGAAACATTGTGAATTCTTTTCCTGAAATTTCACATTCCAGTGCACAGTGTTAACTTTCAACAGTAATGTACATCACATACCTCAGACAGCACAGACCCACCAGTATACCACCCCCACCCCCATTTGAAAAGTTTGAAATGTACACAACCCATGTACCAGGCACAGTTCATCAGCTGTCTGTGCTTCCTGAATAAAATATGTGCACACCCAGATGTCCCCCCTCCCCCTAGAAATATCACCCTTGTTATGCCATTGACTCACGCTGCAGTAAGTTTGTATCACCAGCGTGTAATATCACTTATTTTGGATGTTTCCACTGAAGCCGTTTCCATGCTGGTCTCTGTTATCACAGACACCAGTCCAGTCCCGGAACCACAGTTCACATCCTCAAGGCTATTTCGAAACACAGTAAAAGGCACAATCCCTCGTTTCCTATTGAATCCTGGCAATACGTGGTGGTCAAAAATAATGCTCACGAACCAAGAGTCACTCTAATGGACAGGGTTTGTGGCCTTGTGCAAGTATGCACAAGATGCGAATTGCCCAGAGAATTCATTGCGGTTAGGAGTCAAAAAGATATACATATAGGCTAAAAATCAACATTAAACTGGAAAAAGTTAAAGCAAACCTTGAGTGTAACAAGAAAAAAATGTACCACACAAAAGTACTTGATTCAAAAGTGCCCTGTAATTTACTATCTCAAAAAGTACTTATTAATAGATTTTTTCTTGTTAAAATAATCAAAGTTGGCTAAAGAAATTTAGAGGTTAAAATAGACTGCCTATATTTTTTACACATTTGTGTAAATGCACACGTACATGTATGTACATATACATGTACATCTTCCTGTAGATTAAACCCATTGTGCTGTTTTTTATGCATAACTTATGCAAGTAAACCTGTGTGTATTTTTTACCTTTTAATACGATTGGATATCAGATAGAGGTTTTTCCAAGATTCACTTTTGCCATTTTTAACTTGAGGCAAGAGCAATACCCAACCTCCTGTTAGAGTTTACAATTGAGTTTTGTGTAATGTTCAGTGATGGTGCTCCCATCTAACATGCTGCCATGCATTAGAGCCTTCCTCCATTATTGAGTGACACAGGCATATTTCTTGCACAAGTGGCACAGTAGGGATCCAAGTCTAAGACTGAGACCTGAGGTCCTGAGCCATGAACCAGATCAAAATGTACAGACCTGAACCTAGGACCAAAACCTTGTATAGATTAGAGATATGATTGAATATTTGCGTTCCCTGAATAACTTGACTCCCAGTGTTGAAGTCGAGACCATCACAAGACTATTCATAAGACCATGCACAAGACCAAAGATCGTATAGCACTACTTTGCAGCGCAAGATGGTGAACTTCACCGTGAATACACGTAAAACATTGTAATCGCACAGGTGCCATTTGAGCAAGCGATACGCCTGCGCAATGCACATTAATGCGCAGGCGCCGCGGCAGGCACGTGCACCTGGTGAGGCTGCGCCCAAGCATTACCATAAAGTGTGCAGGCGTATCGCTTGCTCAAATGGTGCCCATGGTAATTACATCTTTTGGGCAGAGTTATCCATCTTGTGCCTTCGTCGCTATACGATCTTTGCACAAGACTTAGACCAGTCACAATTAACATGAACACTGACAGAGGAATACTTTTGCTCAAGTTTGTTTGAATAGCTTGTGACCTGAATGTGGACTGGAGGTCTTGTGTTGGTCTTGTGATGGTCTTTGGGGGTCTTGTGATGGTCTTAAGAAGTCTTGAGAACAACACTGTCAGCTCCGACTGGCAATTTCGTCCAGGGAAGTGGTTATAGTGAGTTCCTTTCATAACCACACTTCATTCCACACTTGGCTTTGGCCAAGTAAATCCGGTGCCAATTTTTTCTGTTAGATTACATATAGTTGTTACCCTTCCTTCAATCTGGTTTTATCCCCATCTTGCTTGCACATTGAATACCCCAGTAAACAATCTTCACTTGAATGAATTTTACTGCTTTGAATATTGAATTGCATGTATGTACTTTTGTAATGGTGCACAATTGTGTTCAACTTCTTTCTCCTGACTTTATTCTCCTTAATCCTGGCTTGTAGCCATGTATCAGTGTTTCTTTGCTGGATTTGGATTTGGCTCTTGTAATCCAGTCAAACCCTCTTTCAAGGAAAGCAACCTAAATGCAGTGGTTGTTGTTGTTGTTTGTTGTTATTGTTGTTTGTTGTTTGTTGATGTTGTTTTTTGCCTTGTCCAGGGAAGGGACAGCTTCTTGGCTTTGTACACATTGTTGTCACCATGGTAATATTTCTGTAATGGGAAGACGGGCACTGTTTTACAGTTAGCTTAATGGCTAAGTCTAGCTTTGCATTTAAATGCATCTGTGTAATGTTTTTTAAAATCTGGGATTTATTAAAATACTTTGTTTTGTAATGGTTTCATTTTGGTGAGGCTGATTTTTTTTGGAGGGGGGTGTTTTTTATGTATTTATGAACGAAATGTTTTCCAAGTTGAAAATGATACTCTGCTTTGTCTCAGAGGGGACAGAAGTGTCCAGTTCTTGTTCTACGAGTAATTGTGCAATAGTGTTTTGTTCATCTCTTTGATGTTTAGTTATACAGCTTAAACTAAACTATCCTTTGCACAGTCTTGAATTTCTTATGTCTGAGTATGTTTAGATTTGTCATAGTATTACTAAAACATCATTTTAAACAGGTGCAAAAACCGTGCGACAGAAGTGACTTCAATTTTTGTATGCAGAAGTTTCCGTTTTTGTTCAAACTTGTATAATTTAAGTACTTAATTTTGTTCAGTTTGTCAGTTGTTTTAAGCGCACTTAATTTGTTTTAACATTCGTTTCGAAGGAAATGTACATGTATGCAGAGAAAGAATTGTTGTTATAGTCCCAGTATGGATAAAACTTCCGATTCAAAGAAGTATATTTTGAAAAGTTTGTGAGAAGAGAGTTTTAATACACCACAATAGTGCATGAAACCTGCACTAAATGTGGTTAAATCAAGAAGTCAGTCAAGTCGACTGGAGTATGTTTCGAGTGCATGTACTTTCCCTTTACTGCCAAATATTGAGCTTTTTTTTTTTTACAGTAGATAGCAAATGTAATCAGAGTTAGGAGAAGATAAACTTGGGATAAATTTTCCTTTTAATTAAACAACGGAACAGAGGTACTGGATGAGAACTCAAAAATTACTAAAGGGTATTCAGGGAGTACTTTAAAACTGTGCCTCAAACTTCATGATTCTGATCGTCGAAAACCTGAAGTTCTTTTCTAGGTCCCAGTGTCAGCTCGATACATCTTTATGGGCGGCAACAATCTTAACATTTGCCTATAAATTGGTACCTGGACAGTGCTTGGCAATATTTCTCGTTGCATCCTTGGCACTCATTTCTGCTGTTTGTTTACAAGCCACCCCGCCTATTGCACTTGTTCCTGTAAGTGTCTGATTATTTTTGTGATTGATTAATCGTTCCCCATTAGATGACATGTTTGATTAATTGAACTACCTTTTAGCAACAAGTTTTAGTCAACAACTCAAAGGCTTAAAATTTATGGCAGCACACCAATGAACTTTGAAGGCCATTGCTCATATCTTGAAAGTACAAGCTTGTGTCAATAATTGTTGCATGGATACGATAATCAGCCTTAATAAATTTCTTTCATCCTCACTTTTTATGTCCACACCTTGCGTGTATTAAAGACCAATATTTTCTGAACCTTTGTACGTCAATATCTGTCAGATTCCAAAATTTGGACCGGTACTCTTTGAATTTGTCATATTTCCGTATACGAGTTTTTCTATTCCTGCATACTTCGTACACCGATATAAAGAAAGAAAAACATTCCATTGTGTGAAATCTTTGCAGAATTATAACAGTACTTCGTCATGTTGCAATAAAGGGGCAATTACTTAAGACGTATAACAGTCAGCTATGTTAAACATGTTCATATTTGTATTTGTTTATATTTGTATTTGATTTATATTCCTGGAAATAAAAACCTGGTGCTTCAGTTTAAGTGTTATGTATACACCTTGTAAATGTATTCAACGATGTAAGAAAACCCCAAAGTGGTGAAGTAAGATGGAGTATTTCCCTGTTTCCTGTGTGTTTCTAGTACCTGTGCATCATGATGTAATAAATATTCATTCCGGTAGTTTACACAGTTTTGAGGCTATTTGTTGGTTTGTGAAATCCAGCGGTATCACAGTTCAGTGGTATTCGACAGCAGATCAATCCAGGCGTTAATCAGACATTTAGTATAGTATGAGGCGGAGAGAAACCCCCCCCCCTTTGTGTTGGTCATTGTTTGATCGGAATCTCAGGAATTCTTTACAGACTTCTGGGGGGGGGGGTTTAGGTAACAATAGTCTAGAATGTGTATGGGGATTGGACCTGTGGGGCGTACCCATCTACGGAAGCCCGTTAGGGCCACGTGTCTTTCTCTTTCATGGTGGTGCGTTTCTCTTTCACGGCGGTGTGTTTCTCTTTCGTTGTTGCCAGTAACTCGCGGCCGCCACTTATTAACTCGCGGCCGCCACTTATTAACTCGCGGCCACGACTTACTCAACTCACGACCGCCACTTACTTAACACGCGGCCGTGACTTACTCAACTCGCAGCCGCGACTTACTCAACTCGCGGCCGTGACTTAACTCGCAAGGTATGTTTTGTACCATGGAAAGCAAATATAGTAGCCTCCTAGATTCACACCGAAAATGAACCGATGTTTTTAAGATGTGGAGAAGCTGTTGGTATGTATTATGTGATGGCATTGTCGGTCCCGGCAAAGATCTATAGTAAATGCATACGGTTAAATACATTCATAAATGACCAGCAAATATTATTTGACCTTTGATCTAACGCCATGCTCTCAGCTTGTAGAAACTTGGGAAATTAATCCGATTACAACAAAGACATCACGGTGACACGGCGCATAAATAAGTCGCGGCCGTGAGTTACTGGCAACAACGAAAGAGAAACACACCGCCTTGAAAGAGAAAGACACGTGGCCTTAACGGGCCTCCGTACCCATTGGCCCCATATCGGGCATGGTATCACTAGTTCCCGAAAGTCTGCTAGTTAAGAAAGTCCGAGTCGTGGGTTTTGTAAAGTCAAAATGCTTCTGTATAGCATAGACAAGATTGTTCGGTATGGTCTTGATTAAATTTACGAAAGGAAAAGTTGTAACCTAAAAGAAAGAAAAAAGGGGTGGGATACGAAAAAAAGACTTAAATTTAAACTGTAGAACAGAAGTTCTTGCAAAGTACATGCATGTACAAAATGGCAAGGTTTAAACGTGTTTTGGACAAATCATGTCTGGTATATCATGGCCTGTATATCGCCTGTTGCTGTACGGAACTCATCTCGGTTAACTCACCATGTTACACACAAGCTTCAAAACGGCTTTGAAATTCTTCTGTTAACCAAGCGTTTCGGTAGCCTTGGTGATAGACACGCGCTCTTATTCATACGGAGCTTGCACGGAGTAGAACGGGTGACACTCGGACTGCCGTTTTGGTATCCAAAATAATGAACCAGTATTTTATGCTATGTCTGGACAAACTTCAGGCTGTGTTTGGTGCTTTCCCAGTTGAAGATCAGTGAGACATTGTGAGGGAAAACGATGAGCAGGTTTTATGTGCAGGGAAATTTCAGAGGTTGCGGAAAATTTTCTTTCCATTTCAATTGTTACTTCACAGGTTATGGCCTCGTTGATTATCCAATGTGAATTGTTCAAGAGTATATAGTGAACGTTTTCTGCTTTTTAATGCTTCACCTTGGATGCCAGATGTGAAGTTTCATTCAAAATTTAACAGAATTGTGTTCTTACCATAGACGTTTTCATGAAAAATTGGATTTCTTTTTTTCTCTTCAAGCCGAAGTAGACAAGCTGCCATTCTTAGATTGCAGGTCAGAAAATGCGATCGACGGCGACATTGAGGAGAGTTTAAGACGTCAATTTATGCCGATAGTGAAATATATTTTGAAGGTATACGAACTGACCTTCTATACCAAATCTTGGAAGTCTTTAGTTTTTAGGCCTGGAGAATTATGGCACATTTGGGGGCATGCCCCTCTAAAAATAAATACTAAAATTAAAAAATAATAATAATATTTTTTAAGTTGGGGGGTTTGAAAAGTAATGAGAAAAGGCAATTTGGAGAGACTACTTGTATTTTGCTTCCAAATTCTTTGAAAGCCTCTAACTGTAGCCTTACCCCAAAGAAAGGCTGGGTTACATAACAAAAATTCCAATTTTTTTTTTTAGCTCCTCCCAAGACCATTTGGTTCAGGATCTGCCCTTGAGTCCCATTGTACACTTTTTTCATCTTTCAGTGACCCCAACACGCTTGGGAGCATGTGGAAGTTTTCCATGCATGGGTAGCACTTAACAGTTAATCAGTAGCCGTTCCACCGTCGCATGGCATCCTAATGGCAGTGCCCGAGACATTTTTTGAATAAGCGCAGCCCCGGTTTCGTCCAAACGTCTGATGGGTACATGTATATGCAAGGTGAACATTTAGTATTCCTGTTGACCTTTGCTGATCACAGGAAGAAGATTAATTGGTGTTTTAGTGTAGGATGGTTCCAGCCCCATAAACAGGGTCAAACTTTGGACTGCCCATTGTAGTCTGTACCAGTCCCACAGTAGTATGCAAGGTAGAGGTGTATTTTTGTTTGGTTGGTTTGGGATTTTTTTTTTAGACAAGCATTTTCAAAAAAACTTTTATAAAACTCCTATATTGTAGACAGGGGATTCAGTCTCTCGCTTCACTACCCACTAGACCACGCTTATTGTCGCAAGGGTCAGTTATTTGTAAAATAGTATTGGAGGAGTGTAACCGCTCCCCCTTCTTACCTTAAAATGCATAGAAGAGTAACAAAATGTTAAATCGATTATGAACTGATTATGCGGACGAGTAGGCCGGATGTCAAGTAGGTGAAGTAGATGTAAAGTTCACTCTGGTGTTTGCTTCTCCTTGAATAATATCAACTTTTGTGGCTCCACTTGGCTGTAAGATTATTTTAGCTAGAAGTCTATTTCAAGGGAGCTTGGCACACAGTTAACTCATAAATGACAAAAGGTGCCTACCTCTTCTGGATCGCATGATAGGGGCGTTGAGTACGCAGTACAACAAATGGCAAGATGGAATTTTGAGCTTGAGAAATCCGGTCCCGAATCATACAGCATTTCACCTGTAGGATAATTTTGTGTAAGATAAGATTTCATCGGGCTGAGGGGGCGAGAGTCATCTGATTTATAGCTAAAAACAAACGTTTCTAACCTCGGTAAGTACCGTATTTGAGACTACAGGCCTAGGGTGTCTATCTGTGAAAGATATTTTCGCCCTGAAAGGTCTGCCTTTCGAAATGTTCTTGCATGACAATCAGGCCGCTGCGTGCACTCCGTGAATTTCCTGCATTCCAGATAACTTTTGAATGTTGGAGATCATGTAGCCCGGTACCGTTCTGCAAAACTTTGCCTGTTAATTCAGTAATAGGCCTATTGCGGGTTTACGCACTGGACACACATGCAGTCTCTCCCGTCAGTCTGACGTAGTTAGTTAATTCCGTAGTTCGTCATGTGAGGGTATAAAGGGCCCATTTGTATCAGTTCAGTACGAGTAGTAGGCCCGTTTATACCCATGATAATAGGATGAGAGTTGAAGTTTTAATTTTTAAAATTCTTTTTTGAGGACCAAAATTGACTATACATGTATGTAGCATTGGCAGATTCGCTGAAGTGGTATTTTCCACATTAATTCATAATCCTTTGAAGCAAATACTGAGTCGTTGAACTGACGTAACAGTCACACAACCTCTAAAAATGACAAAGATGGAGCGCAAGCGTCATGAAGTTGAACTGGTTTCAACGTTCATTTTATCTTGTTGTGTTGGGGAAAAGCAGTGGAAATATTCTGGTTGGTTCTTATCTTGAGGTGACGAAAGTGATAATTTGAGGCCCTGAACGAAAATATTTCGAGGGAACAAAATATGCTATATCGAGGGAACTAAATGTTAGTTTGAGGGAACGAAGTACCGATAATATTACGCGGGAACGGAATTTGTTTAGAGGAAACCAATGATATTTTGAGAAAACAAAATATTCTTTCAAGGAAACTATTATTATTTAGAGGTAACAAAGTGTAATTTCCAGGAGACAAAGTATCAATTTTAGGGAACAAAATACATGTTGAGCGCGAGAGAACGAAAACAAAGTACTAAAGACAACGCTTTGTCTCCGTACACGCGCTCCGTTGAAAACCATGATTCGAAAGTATGGCGTTTTACGAACAGACAAACAGAAGTGTTTCTTTTCCAATTGAGCTATTTAATTAACCTAAATGAATATTAGTCTCGAGTTTTTAAAACTCTGATCTTCGTCTACTGCAGTAGTCAACAGAATGCCACAAGTATAGTAACACGAAATGCGAGTGGCATTGGACGAGACCAATACGGGCAATTCAAAATAGTAGGCTACGCCTGCAAGAGTTTGCAACGCGTTGGCCAATCACAACGCGCGAATTCTATCGACCCTTTCCAAACGCGCACTGGGTGGACAGATTTCGCGCACTGTGATTGGCCAATTCGTTGCAAACTCTTGGAGGCGCACTTCTGTGAAAAGCCTGTATTTCAAGTATGGTTTCTAGAGACATATTTTTTACTTCCTGGACAGAGTCGCGAACTTCATAATTTCCCCTTTCTTTCGAAGAACATCTGCAATGGAGGATTACTGTGCTTTGGAGGAGTGCAATGACGAGATGACACCTCGTGTTGACATTAAAAACTTCGAGCCGGTCTCTGAAACGACTCATGCCATCGGTCCCGACGAACGAGAACGCGACGGAAAGGGCGACGCCGGGAACGAGTCATGTGGTTCCAACGACTCGTACGACCCCAGCAGGGGCTCGTGGGGAGGCTGGCTGGAGTTCATCTTGTCCGTAATGGGTTATTCCATTGGCCTGGGTAACGTGTGGCGGTTCCCGTACTTGTGCTACGAAAATGGGGGAGGTGAGACCTTGGTGCTTCGGTCAATATTTATCTGAGATTACCAATCATGGGCGGAAATCCCGTGGGGACGGGGTATATCCCCCCACCCCTTCTTTTTCAATCATCCTCTCACTTTTTGAATTATTATTAATCTCCCGCACACTTTTTCGTGGTGAGCAAAACATTAAACGGGATTGTCGGACTTCCAAACAACCAAAATGTATTCGATATCACTTAAAAAGGGGGCTATTCAAAAAAGGTCATAAATATGCCGTTCTGGCATAGATGTCGGGAAAAGGGTTTGGCGATGCCCCACATAAATATTGCTAGACTTTTCCCGGTGGGGGGGGGGAGGAACACACTCATCATATCAACAGCCAATGGAGAAACCATGGCTGAAGTTAACCAAAATCCCCTTTCACATTTTTCTTTTGCTTGTATTTTTTCTGGGTGTGGGGGGAAAGCACCCCTTTACTAATATGCCAGCTAATCTGTGTCTTATGTAAATGAAGTTATATTATTTTATGAAGCTGTGCATGGTCATAATGAATGTACTTGTTTCACTTTTAACCTGCGAAGGGGCATTCATCATTCCATACCTGCTCATGATAACGTTTGTGGCGCTGCCGATTATTTTTCTGGAGATGAGTCTTGGCCAGTTCTCGAGTTTGGGATGCATAAGTGTATGGCGATTCAGCAGGCTTTTCAAAGGTAACTTTTATTGAATAAAAATGGTAGTGAATTGGTGTTACATTGACACCCTCGTTGTCCATGCAGGATAACACCGGACGGGGGTTGACCTGTGGGAAGTTGTTAAATCTATATGCCTCCGCAGATTTTGCAGTGATGTTTGGCAAGGGAAGGACCGTTAGCATGAACCAAACAAATCTGCGGTATTTTGAAAAAAAATCACTCATGTGCTTCTGTTATATGCTAGTGGGCTCGACGATCATGTCACCGCTCAAAATTCCCATTCTACTTATGCAGTTGTTTTGCTTCCAATAACTTCTTATGGAACTGCTGGTGATTATACCCTGTGTGCTGTGTGCATGAGTTTAGTTTTATTTATGTTGGGCGAATAGGTTGGTCAATATAAATTTCACTTGGTTGCTGTTTTACACCGAGGGCTTTAAAATGGATGGAAAGGCGAGTGGTGAAATCAATAGCGTTGATCCCCGATTACTACTCGAAAGGGAGTTTTATCAGCTTCCAAGTTTAACGCGTTTAACTGTTGATAATTCCAAATGAGCTGTTGCTGTCGACCCTGCGTTGTAATGTTATTTTTTTTTCTTTTCATTTTTCCCTGAGGTGTCGGGTTTGCTATGACCTATGTATCGGCCTCTTTCTGTCTCTACTACAACATCGTTCTAGCCTACTGCATCTATTACCTAGTCGTGTCCTTCTACAACCCCCAACCCTGGGTGGGATGCGACCACGAGTGGAACACGGAGAACTGCTTTGAGAGATCCTCCCGCAAAGAAGGCTCCGTCGCCAACATGAGCACGACGGAGGTTCCGTTTCTGCCCTACGCGACGGCGAGGACTATGTACGATGACAATTTCACCACGCCCGGCAATGTGACAAGAACACGTGTGCGGGCTACGGAAGAATTCTGGAAGTAAATAAAGCTTCTGACGATTGCCCACATCTTGTCATGCAAGTAAAGTGTGACATGTACGGTACAAAAATGTCAACATATCAGCTTGCACTCGTTTCTCAGAATGAAGAAGCTTTTAGCAACAAAGTCTCATAATTATACAAAACAGAGAAAACACAGATTTATTTATTGAACGTTACCAATTACAGAATGTACGTGTATACCAGGAGTAAGTGATCAATGCATCTCCTCTTTAAGTAAGGCCAAATGATGCTTTTAATTCTGCATTTTGTCAACTAAGGCTAAAGGTGCTTGGGCTGTCAGATGGTCTGCATGATCTTGGCTCCATCCGTTGGCAGCTTCTCCTGTCCTTCCTCGCTGCCTGGGTTCTCATCTACGTCTGTATCTCCAAGGGAATCAAGTCCTCAGGAAAGGTAACTGCCGATATCTGACTCGTAGAGACCAGTTTCTTTTCGGTTGTTCTACCGAAAGTTCAGGAATCTTGAAAGGAATCTCCTTGATGGGCTTTATTTACGAGATGGCCATTTTAGATCGTTACTCAAATCTACTTTATTTATTGAATACTACAAAATGGGAATGAATCTGTTTTGCTATTATTTACAAATATAGCCATCCTTTGAAATTAGTTTCCCTTAAACAGTGCTCTTTGGACATTAATTTGCAACTACCAAAGAAGCATATGGATGGTATCTTATGCATAATCTTCGTCAAGTTTTAGAAAACCTTTTACAGGGATCATTCCTCGCTTAAAATTCAAGACAACCGACTTGTGAATAAAACTAATACTGCCCTCAGACGTTTAACGGTAGTCTGTTAAAAATGTTACACATCAAAAGGCCAACTATAAATTCATGAGCGCACCCTCGTTTAACTTTTAGCTGCATCGTTGACATCCTCAATACGAAGTTGGTCCACAAAGGCTGGCATGGTCGAGTACTCATGTGGTGAAAGCATGTCAACATTTTCAAACGTTTGGTGTTACACCACCCCCATCGATAAACGTCAGCGCCCATCGATGACGTCGAGCGTCACTCACTGACAGAATGATACTGCATTTTTATCTCTTATGAAGATTGCTCTTTCCCTCCAAACTGTATAGGCTGTCTTTTTCACAGCTACATTTCCGTACGTGTTGCTCTTCATTCTTCTGGTTCGAGGAGCGACACTCGAAGGGTCTATGCAAGGGGTACTTTTCTTCATTAAACCGGACTTCAAGAAACTTGGTGAAGCTAAGGTAACTCAGTGCAGACTATGCAGAAACTTCCTAATTTGCTGCAAGTTTTATGGAAGGAAATTCGACAAACGAAATATAAACAGGTTTGAAGCCCAGTCCATCTTCTCAAAACTTGACAAGTATGCTCAGTATGCGATTAGAACTGAACACAGCTAGGCTGCTGTGCATTCTGCTACGCGGACTGTGATTGGTTTGAAAGTTGCGGCCTGACGGTGAGGAAATATCAATTAATAAATGGCTTCTGAAAAAGCCATAGGCCTACTTGTTATAATACGTGCAGTCACTCATTAATGACAACACGTTGAAAGGCTACACCGTTTTCTCTTAATTAAAGAAAACTTTTGTCTTAGGAGGCTGTTGTTTTCTTCTCTCTCCCGAAAGGTATGGCAGGCGGCAGCGAACCAAGTGTTTCTTTCCTACAGTCCCGGGTGGGGTGGCATGCACACACTGGCAAGCTATAACAAATTCAACAACTACTGTTACAGGTGAGTACATTTATACACCTTCGTGTCGTCAGGGATGCTGGCCTTCAGCGCGACGCATTCGATTGACATTTGGCCATCCGGGTTTTTACTAAGGTGATCAAGGTGATTGAATATTGTCACTCTTTTCTCTCCATAGGGATGCCTTTATGTTTTGTATTTCGTGCGCCTGTACCAGCATCTTCTCTGGCTTTGTGATCTTCTCCATCATAGGCTTCATGGCCTATGACTCCAACACTAAAGTTGAGGATGTGGTTGACGCTGGTAAGTGTCATCAGGGAATAGGCCTCGCCTTCGAGTTCTTGTCTATCACTCCTCTTGGAGCTTTCAAATTTCTAGACACACCGAGATAGTTCAAAGGTCAACAATTTCCTCATTATTTTGCAGGTTACGGTTTGGCATTTGTTGCATTCCCGGAGGCAGTGACCCGGATGTGGGCCCCACAGCTCTGGTCGGTTCTTTTCTTCTTCATGCTCATTATCCTTGGAATGGATAGTCAGGTATCTCCAATCAATTTAATCCTGCAAGGCTGCGGCCCAAAAAGTGAGGCAATAACCCTACGAAGAGGTGATAAATAGTAATGTTCGCTTGTCCTTTACATTGCTATAACAATCAACTACGCTAACGAAATCCATCTTGCTAGTTTCATTTCTTTTCCTGAAGTGTGAAGTGTCGTAACAAGATTTCAGAATGGACTGTCAATAAACACCGTCGGTATTTTTATGAAAAAAATTATTGAAGCTAGTGGCTAATTTGCAACATTTTTACGAGTTCCTCTGATTATTCGTTCGATGTTTTAGTTTCGAAAGCAGTCCCAATTGGTGTTTTGAGGATTCTTTATTTTCTTCGAATGTTTCCTACTTTGTCCCGTCGCAGTTCGTGTGCTTGGAGACCCTGATCACGGCCATAACTGACGAGTTAGCGGAGGTTTGGCCAAACACTAGACGGTGGAAAGGATGGATAACCTTTGGGACGTGTCTCACGATGTTTTTGATTGGTTTGCCACTCGTCACACAAGTAAGCATCTTATAAACCTGCCCCAAAGCCTGTTTTGTGTCACAAGATGCTCTGTCCCATCAGGAAATGGCTAAACTCACGCGAATATCAATGTTTTCCTCAGACGTAAAGTTCCACCAAGAGTCAAAATAATGTGGACTATTTTAAATGCAATAGGGCCTACATGTATATGCAGTTTTATCCCTTTTGTTCCATCTTTTAAGCAACATACTTCCACCACAACAGCACCGTGCAAAATCTATTGCATGCAGCCACCGAGCCATTGGAAAGATCCGATTAGGGATTTATTATACGTGGGATACAGATATAATGAAACTGATAAATGTTCCTCATTCGGTCCATCTAGGGCGGGAGCTATGTGATGGAACTTTTAGACTGGTATGTGGCGGGCTTTTCGCCTATGGCAACGGTAATGTTCGAAGTCTTGGTAGTGTCCTATATATATGGTAAGTACACAGATTTTCTGAATTTCAAAGTGGCAAGACTATGGTTGTGTGGATACGTTGGTTTATAAAAATGTCCGTTCCAAAATAAGATCCCAAATTACCAGACGTCAACAAGGAACATGAATAGAAGGGCACGAAAATTATAGTAAGGTTCCCGTTTCTTATCCCTAACTCCTTAGGGTGAGTGCAAAATCATATTAAAATTGGAGGATTCAGGGCTGTTAAAGTTAAGGACAAAAAATATAGTATGTTACTCAGCCTGTCATGTTGCCTGTGCTGACTTATTACAGGCCAACAATACAGAACGTAAATGAAAGGGCACGAAAATGGATAATTTGGATGACCGAAGTGAATAATGTCTCAATTGGATTTAAGCCTGTTTCCCCTGTTTTCTTGGAGACTTTGTTATCGGGGAAAATCCTCATGGATTTTTGTTATTAAGCACAGGTAAACAAGACGTTTATTGGTTTTCTTACATTTATCCCTAGGTGTCAAACGAATTGCAGGTGATATCAGAGCGATGCTGAACTTCACACCGTCACTCTTCTGGCAGCTGTGCTGGATGTTTTTTAGTCCAGCACTATTAACGGTATAGACTATAGACGTTATTCACGGGGCCAGCCATATTTAATTTGAAAACGAGGTTAACTCTTTACTTTTGAATGTTGGGAGTAGAAATGAAAGCAATAAAATTATATTTTATGACAAATTTGCACCTATCTATTGTGATGATAAATTTCAGATTCATGATTAAACACACAGAATTGTGCCTTGGCAGATTCTGAAAATTATTGAAAGGGGGCTTGGAACGCACAGAAAGTATAAAACAGTCTGGTGCCATCCTAATCGACATTTTACAATACATTTATATAAAACAGATTTGGGGAATAACATTTTTTTAAATGGTCTAAATCCCCAAGGAGAGGCCATAACAGGGTACCACATTCACGCACACCTGGCAGATCACCACATGCACACCCTAATGTACTGAAAAAGAAAATAACACACGAGTAGCACCTATCTGTGAGCGTTATGCCATCTCAGTAGTGACTTCTAGTTGTGGTTGCTAATGAAACTATAGATGGAGATGAAACCTCTTGCAGATTGTTCAATAATTCAAATGTTTATTGTATAATATGTCGGAAATTGGATGCTAGAATATTGTCAATCACAATGAGTTAACTGAAATGTGATTAAGCAGTCACATTTTTGCAGGGGACACCGAACGCCAATGAACTGCGGCATGTAGGATATGTACATTAAAGGAGGGGGTATCCAGGAGCACGGACCTCCGGGGGGTGCGGCTTTTGCCCCCTCCTGTAGTTACACCACTGGAACCAAATGAGCTGAACGGTCCATTTTACCACACCCTTGCCCTTGAAATATCTCGACTGATGCCCGCTTTTACATAGGAGTTTTGCATCAACACAAGTCAGTATTATTTCTGACTTTCTGTGCTTTCTTTTCAGTTTATCATCGTGTTCGCCTTTGCCAATTATGAGCCCCCTAAAACCAATAAGTACACCTTCCCACCGTGGGCTGATGCGTTAGGATGGTGCCTCGCGAGTGTTGTATTGGTTTTCATTTTCGTTTATGCCGTCTACTACCTGTGTAAGGCAAGAGGGACTTTTGTTGAGGTGAGTTTCTCGGCCTGATGAAATTGATTTCTCGTCAATATGTTTTTAATGTGGTTTTTAATAAAATAAAAAAGTGCTCTAGGTTTGTGAACGAATATCGTCAAGAACTTCTTAGTAAGGACTCGTGAGTTAATGCAGTCAGATTATATGTCTAGCCATACTAATAAGTAATGGAAATTAAACAATGGCAGACCCATCTGGTTCTTAACTTCGGCGTACAGGTGCACATACAACTGTTTACAGCCCTCCAATTAGATGAATACTTTAGACCGCGCGTTAACTTCTAGTTCCATGGTTCCTTGCTAGGCGTGGTTCAAACTGAAGTGACTTCGCTTTGTCGAAGGCTATTTGAATAACTCCTGGCTCAACTTGAGTCTTGTGACTGACATAGAGTTGATTAACCTGTGGTGCCATAAATAATTACCACCCCAGTGTCAATAGATTTTACTGCATTTAATGAGCAACATTATTGACTGGTGAAAAGAGTGCGCTGAAATTATTGTGATCGTTTATCAAATATTTCGATAAAAGTGTACCAATGACCTTGGAATAGTGTCAACCAAAGTAATACAAATTTCTTCACAGCGAGTGAAGCTTGCCGTGAAACCCTCTCCTGACTGGGGGCCACACCTGAACAAGAACCGAGTGAAGGCGGGCTACGCCCCATTACCAGGCCGTGGACCGTACCCGGAGATCCTAGTTGACCAGGAGGACGCCGTGCACTGGCCCGTCACTGACTTGACCAAGTCAAAGTCTGGATGTGATGACTGTGAACAGACGGACAACATGGACAGCAACCCTGGTCAACAAGATAGCATTGTGTGATCACTGCACCAGTGACTTAAAAGCTCGTTTTGAAAGAGCCCAGTTACGATACTCTATTGGTGTTGGGCCAGAATACACTTAATATTAATGTGGTAAGCGACCAATACACATAAGGTTAGCATCCCCGCCCCCCTTTTTAGACACACCCGTTAAACTGCGGTAAAAAGGGCTTGACAACGTGTCAGAGTGGCCATCACACAAACGACCTTTGTGACACGGTGCAGATCGTGCCACCTATCATTTCGATGCGAATGATGTCAGGAAAATGTAAAAAACAAGGGAGTGCACAGTTAGTTCACCGTAGCTGGCTGTCATGCCTTGCTGTGTGAATTAAACAAAATCAATTTTGTAAAAGGCATGTTATTCACTTGATTATGAGTGTTATAGTTTTCATCAATAACTGCGTCATTTGGAACTGAATCTCGTAAGTGAGAAAGGAAGACGGGGAAAAACCCTTCGGCCCGCTTCTGAAAAATGAAAGGCCATGGACGCTAACCAATATTTTTTATGTGGCCTAACCCATGCACAATTAGGAAGTCATCATCAGGAAAGTTATACTTATGGTATGTACGGTGCTTGCAGGTTGATTATACTGCAGTTGTTGAAAGCTCATATACATAGAAATATATACCAACATATACCAGAAATAATTATTAACAGAAAACTACTCATGTAGGCCTACTCTGCTACACTGACCATTATTAGGACAAAGGTCGTTGGACTGGATTTTGTTCAGTTCCCTAGGGAATACACAGTGGGTCTTAAGATCTTCTGAACAAATACCTTTTTAGTTCCACACTTGAGTTTCGTGGCGTAATACCAGACGGGAAGGGAGAAATATCTATTTTTAAATTGATATTAGTTGTAGTAAATTTTAGTTCTATAGCTTTGTTTGATGCATACGAGTCATGATGTGAACAATATTTATGGTTTCTATGTGCGCGCGCCACTACGCTACTCAGCGACAGTTACAAAATATAAGTAAAATATTTAAAAGGGGTGCATTATTATTTTAATGGCAGTGAAAAAGGAGAGGCCACGAATGGTAACAGGGATCGACTGTGCTAAAAAGTTTCTTTCAGTTAGAGGATCTTTTTTAAGGTGTTAGCTTTGGGGCATTTCGTCCGGGTAACTGTTCGTAGACGTTATCGTTTGCTTGATCTTTTCAATCAATTTTGGTTTGGGAATAAAGAGTAAAACGTGATAACGATGTCTGTATGTGCATTCTATACATTTCTGCGTCTGCAGATCTTGCGATATGCGTTGTATGTTCGAAGGGTTATTGTCCACAGCGGCGGGAATCTTATGTTCCAAACGCCAAAAAGGAAAATTTAATGACCTACATCATTCGTTGCTAACGAACTCAAACTTTCAGTTATAAAAATCAACCGTGTAATCGGTGAACACTGACAGTTTCCTCTGCATCAACCGAAGTTGCAGAGGTGGTTTTGGAAAGGGCAGATAAAGTGAACAGAATTGGGCAAATATCTGGTTTAAAAACCATTAATCGCAAGATCTATCAGAAACATCGAACGCCTCAATACGGGACTGATGAGACAAACCCAAATAAATATAGCGCCCTCTTTAATCCGAAATAATCCCTTGCGGCGGAGTAATGCGAAGGTGCTAATAAAGCATCAACCCCCCCCCCCATCCAGCGACGGGTCTGTGTGTTCAGCACACACACGTTTTGGTGAATTCCCGTGATATTTGACGGAAATATGACTGGAATTACGACCGGTGCTCCAACTGCTATATTCTTGGAGTCAAATTTTGACGCTTGAAATGGATTTCCTCAATGTTGACACAAAATTGTACAAGACGGTGTGGTTTAAAACATTCTGTTAAAAATACGTTCGGTNAGCATTTTGTAGTATACGAAGCCGTGTCCGAATTTATACTTGGCTGCGGCTTGTCGTCGGCCAACGGGTAGTAGTCTTGGTTTCAAGACGTTACTATCTGTAGCTGATTTTGTGTATTAATGAACTCTTTATCGCAGTAAATTTTGTCAGTCAGCAGAGGGCGCTATGTGACGGACGAGGTTACCAAAGATCGTATAGCGCACAAGGCGCACCATGTACCACAGACACGGCCGTTACTACGCCTACTTTGGGGGGGGGGGGCGAAAGTGGTTTGCGCATGATGTCCGTACAACGGCCTGTGTGCCTATTTTATTCATTAAAAGGGGTGTTCATAAGGAACTGCATCATGTAAAGCTGCAATCTCCAGCGTTTCTGTTACAAGGATTATTGAAGCACTCGTTCTATTTTCAAAATGTACACCAGCCCTTTGTTTAGTGGAGTTTCTAGAAAAGGATTCTCATTTTGCTTCTCATTGCTGCGAACTTGCACGCGAACACGCTTACAATAAATGCAAAGTCTGGGCCGTGATCTCTTCAAATTAACACCCCTAAAATCCATGCATAACAGCGATTTATTTTGTAAAGCTTGATTTTGTTCCTGAAATTCGGGTGTAAAGGTCCCATCTTCAGACTGTGATCTTTTATTAAAAGATCACAGTCTGAAGGTAAAAGTTTTAAATGAAATCCTTCCCTTCAACACAACCCTTTTTCCACACTGTTATAAAAAAACAAGTGATGCATCCTATTCAAATTTTGTCCATTGAGTTTGGAAAAAATTCTTAACGTTCGATCAAAACTTACAGTGCGTGGAGATGCAACATCCACAACCGACCGACGCCACAGAAACCCGGGCAACAAAGTCGGCACGGCACAGTCAAAAACGAATATCAGGTAAACAAAATGAAACAAAATATTTATCCTAAAGACAGTTTTCATCATGAAAGTCCTGTATAAGAAATATATTATACTGCGGGTTGAAACACTTGGAGTCACACTTGAAATTATCAATTATTGCCAGCTGTTCGTGGTTTCGAAGGCTCGTCGTGGTCCATCTTCACGCACTTAAGGTTGAGTTCGGGCGATCTGTTCTTGAGACGGGTTCCTTGTTCTCACGTTCGAACGGGGGGGGGGGGGGAAACCACTCAAGANGGGGGGGGAACACGACTCAAGAACACTGTTCTCGGAACAGGATCACGTACCACCTCCTCAATCGGTAGGATTTTATTTTTACACGAATACACGGAAAAACTCGTGAGATTTGATTTTTGAACAGCCGCAAAAAGTATCAATGTGGCTTTACAAAGCCGAAGACAATGGAAACGTTTTGTAAAATTAACATTAATAATTTTCCATGACAGAAACGAATTCTTTTTTATGGAAAAGAAGTGAGCCCAGTTATCCGACACTAACTTTCGAAGAATGCACAAGGACGCTGCCATGTTGCATGTTGCTTGCCATGCCAAAAACGAAGAACAAACGAGAACAAGCCTCCCGAACTCAGACAGATACTAACGTTTTGGAACTAAGACTACAAGGTAGACGGAGTGTGTAGTTTCAAGCCACAGCCAAGTAATTCGTCCAGGCCTAATTATGCATCGCTCGCTGCGTGATATGCTCGCGCATCGCGCGCTCTGAATTAACCGCAAGTGCACGTACAATGTACATGTACGTACGTACGTACGGTGATCTGAAGTACATGTACATGTACTGTACATTATGTATATTTCATTGTATGTTCTCGTGCTCGACAATCGAACACACCTTGACAAAGGCGCACCATCGTGTTCGGGATAAACTGGTGTGATAAATTTCCTTTTTCGGCTTTAAGGTATTGAGTCCAAGAAGCGGATCCTGACCGAAAGATTGGTAAGTTTTAAATTCAGTAGGATTCGTTTTATTAGTTAAACAAAGCAGTGAACCGGTTTCAGATTTTCCTTCCACTGGCCACGTGATGTGGAATGTCTGTGCATTTCCTCCTCCCTCCACATCGTACGCGCACGCCTTGTACTTTGTAGACAAGGCAGACGCAGAGATTTTCATCGGATGCTGCGTGCATGCATCACGCTGCATTTCGCTGGTGGTGTGAAGCATTTTTAATGTCAGCGGTTCTGGAAGTAGTTTAAAATGGAGGAAGGAATATTATTTTAGAAGTTACCACTTGCTTTCCTGCAGGCCCAACATTGAGAAATTTGACATAACAGGATTTTGTGGATCTTTTCTTGCAAGGTGCTAGAAAAATAAAATGAAAAACACTAGCCGGAACAATTATAGAATACAGGGCCACTCGGTTTGGACTTAAGATTTTTTTCCCACCATCTCCATTCATTTTGTGTTACTTCATTCTCAAAAAGAACTCTTTCGACCATATAGCCACCAACCGGGTACTCGATTTGGACTTCTTCCCAGAGTCATTCCCATCCAATGCGACATCGTAGCCAGTGATTCTACATGTAGGGGGTGGCCCTGTATTCTATAATTACTCCGATAAATGTGCCTCACAGCCTTGTTTTTTGTTATTTTTTTTTATTTATTTATTTTTACTGTCTTTTTTTTTTTTCAAATTTAAGTTGAATTTATTATTCTCTTTGCACTCCACTGCTACACCACTTTCATGTGCATTTATCTGTCTACATTGATCCTTTTCACTGAGTATGTAGCAGCTGCAGATCAGATTTGTGCCAATCTGTATTTGAATGTCATATCTCCTCTGTTTTTTACATATTTTGTGAAAGATTATTTTCACTGCTGAATACAGACCAATAACAGTCAATTGCCGTCGCCCCAAATTTGGTATTTTTCCGTCATCACTTTTCACCTTTGTAGTGCAGGTACCTGTCCCTGCTAATTTATAACTACATGTAAATTTTATGCATCTTGCAACTGTGTTGTTTATCTACTGTTTGTTCATAAATTGGTGTAATGATTTAATTGTAAACGTTAACCCATGGTCCATACATTTACCTCACGGAGTTTGCCTCCAGTGGATATCCCTTGTTTGTGAAACGTATTTACGTGTTTTGTCTTTGTCTTTACTTGTTTAGGCTAAGCTTTACATGAGGAAATAAGTTAAGCGTGCAGTGCACTTTTTCAAAAATATCGTTTGTAGAGGAAATTATTTCTAATTGGACACAGACCATGTCTAAATCTGACCAGTCTGAGCCACACAAAGGTGTCAGAAGGCATCTGTATTTTAATTTTTATATACAGTAACTTTAGTTTTACAGGTCTATATGTAGGTTTGCATACAGTACATGTGCCCTAACGTGGTGCATTTTGATTTTTTTGCTTCTAGTGCCTTGCACTAGAAATTTCACCAAACATTTGATACCCCCAGTACATGTATTCTGATTAAAGTATGTTGATTTTACTTACAGAGGCATACATGTACTTTTCAGCCCTGCTTACTGAATACAGCCGTTAGAGATATATAAATGAACTCAAATCAGATTACGTTGTCATTTTTACAGTGTTCATCTTTTTTGTTGGTAAAGGAAGCTTTGTCCATATTGAAATGAGTTCAAAATAAAAGTTAAAAAGGGAAAGGATAAAAAACATTAGAAAACCTTTTTTAATATATAAGTTTCAACAACTCAGCCCATCAGCTGGTAATATTGGGGACATTTTGTCCATTGACACATTTGAACAAAAAAATCCACAAAATTTACTTTCATTATTTTTATATCCGTACAACATTGATGTTTGCCGTGGCAACCATTACAAGGAGGGTACTGTATGACTTTGTTATTACCCTGTATTTGCATAAATTTGCATTGCTTCACAGAAAGATTGATGTCAGAAACCCAGGTCTTTCAGAAATTGAGTCATTTCAACAACTGTTCCAGTGTCCGATACTTGTGATCAAGTGGAACTGTTTCATAGGTTTATCGCCTTGGTCTTGTTGAATGGTTTGAATTTGGCCTTGTTTTATTCAGACCTGTTCACTTTTTCTGTTGAAAGATGCCAAAATGAAAACTTTCTTGTGGAACAACCCAAGTTTCCAGCTGTCAGTCATTCCAGTCAACATTGCAGCCAAATGATGAATATTCATAATATTTGGCTATAATCCTGAGCAATTTGAAACAATGTCTCTTATTTGCATCATTGTATTAAATTAAGTGGCTGTAACAGTGCACGTTTTGCTACAACTTTGGCTCTTACCTAAGATTGATAGCTAGATCTCTTCAACATATACATGTAAATTTATTTACATGTATGTGTTTGGAATATCCCTTCTGTTGATAGTTTGGCTGCAGTGAAATTTATCTTGGGTAAATCCAAGATTGTCATTAGGCAAAATTATTTAATTGTGAATTTGTAATTTTTGTATAAATATTGGACCCCTTCCTCATTTCCAGTTGAAATGGCAAAGAAAAGCAAAGAGCTGTCAAGCGAGGAGGGCAAGTCTCGAGACACCTGGGGCAGCCACTTTGAGTTCATCCTATCCAGCATGGGCTATGCAGTGGGACTGGGTAACGTCTGGCGATTCCCCTACATGGTCTACGATAACGGCGGGGGTAAGCGATGCAGCGTGCTCAAAAACTTAGGAGCAGTTTGAAAAATATGTTTAGTCCTTGAAGCTGTTCAATGCAACATGCGTCCCACCATGTGAAATTGAGTCACAAGTTGCCAATGTCACTTCTGAGTAATGCATTACTAATGGGCCCTTAAAAAGAATCTTGCATCATTAAAATCAATAGGAACTGCCAATTATTTAGACTTGGCCATATTTTTATCATTTTCTTTTCTGGATAAGCTAAATTTAACAGAAATGGGAACAAATCACAGGTAATGTGCAATAGGCTATATGGCACCTTGTCTGATTACCTTAACATGGACTGAGCATAAATTTCATTTTTGGCATTGCATAGAACTGCACACAGCATAAGACATGACATGCGGGATTGTAAATGGAGTTTGCATTCTTGGTTCTTGATGTTGAAAGGCCAAAGTTAAGTGATCCAATGTACATGAACACATGTAATATACATACATGTAACACGGTTTGAGGGTGGATATGTGGTTAATTTTAGCTCCTTTTGTATTGGAAATTGATAAAGTAGCTCTGGAGGAACTGCGTATACCGGATGTTTGTCAACTTCCAGTATGTCAAGGAATACAGGCATTTAACAAAAGTGCACCACCAAGAGTTTGCAACGCATTTGCCAATCCCAATGCGCGAAATCTGTCGACCCAATGTGCATTTGGAAAGGGTCGACAGATTTCACGTGTTCTGATTGGCCAACGTATTGCAAACTCTTGGTGGTGCCCTATTGTGAATCACCCATATTAAAATTGACCATCCACCTTAAATGAACAGTGCTATATTTTCAATAATGGGTTCAACTTTTGCCCTTACACCTGATGTATGTGTGTACAACATCTCCCTGATGCCAAGTACATGTACATCTTGTAATGTGTTATATTTGTTTTACCTCACATTTACCTCGGACATTCATTGCTGTTCAGAAATTTCAGGAGCAAGAAATACATGTACATGTACGTGTATGCACAGTGTAGGTGGCATACATGTGCTGGTGTTTATTCATGCGTAGTGTGCATAGCTACCGTAGTGCGGTGCTTGCATACATGTATGCGCACTTCACCTGTCTGACAGTTCAGTATGCAAACATAATTTAACTTGTGCAGGGATGCTTGCGTGCAAACTTACAGTAGTAAGCAGCAAGGATATCGACTAGCACATGATGATAAGTGGACCATTGAGAGTTTGGCTCTCAATCATGAATTTATGTGAGATATGGTAATGACACTCATTCCTCCAATAGTTCTTAATTCATCACATTTCTTCCTCAGTAATCAAGCTTGATCATGTCAAACAATGTATTCGATCCAATATGACAGTGTTTTCAGTCCTAGAATTCGTACTGCATCCGGGAGAGATAAACCAAACTTTGTCTGCCCAAATTGCCCCCAAACAACTGGCAAAGTTCTCCTCTTGTGTTGGATCACTAGGCGCCTTCTTGTTGGTGTATTTCGTGATGCTGTTCCTGGCTGCCATACCCGTGATGTTCCTGGAACTCAGCTTTGGTCAGTTTGCCAGCCTGGGTTGCATTAGCTGTTGGAAGATCAGCCCTCTTTTCAAAGGTACGATTCATCTTCCCCACCAGTGTTTATTATGTAGTGTGACTGCTGCAGAAGTATGCACGATGTCGCATATTTCAAATTCAAGCTGTGGCCTTTTGGAAACGGTTACAGTCAAAAAGATGTCATCCAAATTTGGATGTGTTTTTATTATGTAGTAGTTGTTTGACATCTTTATATATAAATGTCATCTATATATAAAAGCGAAATACCGTACAAAGGCATTTAAATAGTGTCTGAGGATTGAGTAAATAACACTTAGAATAAAATGGTATGTTGGTGCTTTTCTTTGTGATAATGCAGTGTATTAAAGCTTGCTTTCTCAATTTAAAGAGTGAAAAATGAACAAAGGAAATGACATTTTTCATACAAGATAATTCAATAATATTAATATTTTCACAAATGTCCATGACAAAAAATTATATTTCATGCCATTTCCTTTTGCATAGTTAGTTCAAAACAGGAAGTAAATTTTTGTCATCGGACTCCAGTATATTGCAGGGCAGGTCAAAGTACCTTTTTGTGGATTTGTGGTTCAGATTGACATTATTTCATGCCGAACAGATACACATTGTACACCATATAAATGAAATCAGCACAAGATTTTAACAATTTGTTCCTTTGTATGAATAGCCAATGCATGCACAATTTTAGGGTACTTGTGCGTATTCAAGTCTGGAACTTATATGTACATGTAAAGGTCAGAACAAATTTTCCCACTAGTCTCTTCTGATGACACATACATGTAATATTTAAGGTGTTTCTGAGATCATGCCATGGCAGTTGGGAGATCAGGATTATGCGCTTACGTGCGCAAGTTTGCCGCAGTAACGGAAAAAGCAAGGCAGATTGATCTGCCATAATCGTATCAAGCGGGTCGGCAGTATTGACCATCCTCACAGGAGTTCCATCTAAGAAAAACACACATAGCCTACTGCTAGTCGTTCTCCAATCTTGCTGAGGGCCCTGTAGGAGAGCGCATAAATAATGACCCGTTGAGGGTTAAAGCCACACGGGAGTAGTATAATGTACCTGAATTTAATGCCTTTGTAAGGCAGTCACACAAGCTCCCATGCACGGCAAAATGCAGGTAAAATATTATACATTATGCACTGTCCTTGTGATACATTATGCAGGAACAGCTCTTGATGTAAATCTTACCTTGTAAATATTTCCCTTTGTTGTACTACATGTCTTGGTACGATGTAATTTGATAGACCGTTTGTACTGGGTGTTAGCTTGGGAAAGGTTTTCTTTTCTTTTTTTTATTTTTGTCTTCCTCTCTTTATTTTTGTTCTCGATGAACATGAATACATAAATGTATGCATGTGTACTTTAAAACGCTAAACAAAGTGGTTTTTTTTTAATAGACCCCCCCAAAAGAAACCCCACTAAATATGCATAATTTAAAACTAACATAATGTGCTGAAGTGTTAGGATATACACCTTGCATTATAAGTGTGTATAGTTTTGGTTTTCATGTACATTAATGCTGTTTACTGTGCATGTAATTCAGTTTTAAAAAGTAGAGGGGAAGAATCAGTTTACACGTGACGTAGTTGTACTTGCCCCTTGAACACTCTTTCAGAGGATCTGAAATTTGGATCCCAATCTCTTTAACACTCATCTACATGTATTTTGCAACAGATAACCCTGACCTGACCATGACCCACAAATTCCTCTAAAAACTGTTCAACAATTGATGGGAACCTTCTGTGCACATGTGGGTCCGTGCTTATGCAATTTGACATGAGGTCCGTGCTACTGGCCTTGCAGTACAGGTACATGTACAGTGATGTATGTGGAACTTGTTTGTTGGTACAGGTCTACCCAAGGATTTTACAGTTGAGAAGGTGTATTGAATTCGAAGTTTGTTCTCTGTTCCCGCGCCGTAGTCCATACCCAATATGTATTCTGCTTGTCCTTGCTGGAGGGATCACAAAGACTTTCCTTGGGTGTCCATGATGGACATGCTGCTATTGAAATGAAGCCCCTCTTTGGTTTGTTACAGTGTGAGTGTGTTCATGGTGCTTTGTGGTATACCAGAACAATGGGAAGTAAACCCCCCCCCCTTGCAGGGTACTTTTCTTCGCAGTACCCCACAAGGATTTATTGGAATTTACTCAGAAGGGAAATTTCACGGGTATACTATTACTCATCTGTTACACATTGAAGTATTTTGTATTTATAAGGGACATTTGATGCAATTTCAATCCAGGATAGAGATTCTGGTTTGAATGGGAGCGACTTGAAAATTACCCTCCTCGCGCTGATTTTTTAGTACACGAGAGCAAAGGAGACTCTGTGTGTGTTCTGCTGCTTTTTTCGCTCAGAATTTGTGTGAATAATGCCGTAAGCGGTACTGTAGTCAGACCATTACGAGACCAGATGCAAATTGCAATTACTACTCACAAGACCGTTCACAAGCCATTGGGTGAACAGTGACAAGAGATGACTTCATTTGTTGCAGTTAATGTGGATGGCTTGTGGACACGGATTCCAGAAAGTACATGTACATGTATGAGACACTTTTTGTAATATTCACGGAGCAAAAAAAAAACACCTGTTACGATCATGGTTATTCAACATCAGAAACTTGGAGGGATCATTAAAGGTAGGGCCATAGATTGGTTTTTGTCAAGGGAATGCTGATTTGTAGTCAAATTTATCGAGAAAGATACAATTAAAGTCATTTGTGAAAGTATCATTTACAGTTCCTTGTTCTTGTGAAAACAGTAAAAACTGTCATGGTATTTTCCTCAAAAACGTAAAATCTATTCAGGATTAGTGAGACGAAAAAGAACTGTGGTTGTAATCAGGGTAGCACTACCTCGGTCATAACGAATACTTATTGCATGCTGGCCGTGATTCCAAATTGGTTTTCACTAAGGCCTGACTTAAGTCAGGATGTAATCTAAAACACGAGGTCACAGCTGCCTAGCCAGCCCACAGAGCTATTATATAACAGCAATATCGTCAGCAATATCTGCCTACTGATCCATTGTGCGTGCAGTGGATCAGAGCTTGCCAGTGCTGTGTTGAAGTCTGTGTTGAATAGGCTTATCTTCCTTCTTCCACTGCATATTTTGAGTTATCGTAAGCCAGTAACTCCTCTTCAAACAATGATGAAAAAAGGCAGTACACATTAAATCAAACACGAATGAGTACGTCCATGCTTAAAATTAGGGGTGTGCATTTATGGGTATTTTTGGAACCGGGTACCTGTTTTTGTCAACATCGGTTACCCGAGAACACTTAATAAATAATAACAAATGGCATTGCGCACAACCCCGGTGGACTACGTGCCCGAACAAGGCTCTTTTTTTGTACATACCAGTAGGATTCTAGGAAGCAAGCAGTGCATTGTTCTAAATGTTGAGGTAAATCTCTACTACCTTTTTATCAAATGAAAATTATACCTTTAATTTGAAAAATTTTCTTTCATTGATTTCTAATCAATAGGGGCATTCAGACGAAATATTTTCACAGAGCAATTACTACTATTGGCATCTTTCTACCAGTTATGCTTTCGGATAAAAATCGCACCCTTTTTTTCTGACCCTACATGTACATGTACCNCCCCTAAGGCCTGACTTCAGTCAGGATGTAATCTAAAACATGAGGTCACAGCAGCCTAGCCAGCCCACAGAGCTATTATATAACAGCAATATCGTCAGCAATATCTGCCTACTGATCCATTGTGCGTGCAGTGGATCAGAGCTTGCCAGTGCTGTGTTGAAGTCTGTGTTGAATAGGCTTATCTTCCTTCTTCCACTGCATATTTTGAGTTGTCGTAAGCCAGTAACTCCTCTTCAAACAATGATGAAAAAAGGCAGTACACATTAAATCAAACACGAATGAGTACGTCCATGCTTAAAATTAGGGGTGTGCATTTATGGGTATTTTTGGAACCGGGTACCTGTTTTTGTCAACATCGGTTACCCGAGAACACTTAAAACAAATGGCATTGCGCACAACCCCGGTGGACCACGTGCCCGAACAAGGCTGTTTTTTTGTACATACCGGTAGGATTCTAGGAAGCAAGCAGTGCATTGTTCTAAATGTCGAGGTAAATCTCTACTACCTTTTTATCAAATGAAAATTATACCTTTAATTTGCAAAATTTTCTTTCATTGATTTCTAATCAACAGGGGCATTCAGACGAAATATTTTCACAGAGCAAGTACTACTATTGCCATCCTTCTACCAGTTATGCTTTCAGATAAAAATCGCACCCTTTTTTTCTGACCCTACATGTACATGTACCTTTAACCACTTCCTGCCGGGCAACCCGTTTTTTGTGTACATAGGCTTTATATGCAGAGCCAGGGAGGGGGGGGGAACTGGGACAAAAGAGTTGGGCCTTATAACAAAAGACTGTGCTCAGCACAAAAGACTGAGCTGCTGGGCATTACTGACAATTTTTCGCTCTCAATAGTGGAGATAATCCAGCCTTGTTTTGAAACAGTATGGCTTGGGAGGGAGCAGATTACTACTGGGGTCAAAAGCTTTCTACGCTGCAGTGATGAGCCACACAGCACCGCTGCATGCTAATATGGTCCCTATTGAAAAGAGGTCAGCAGTGCACTGTGCAGGTTTCGGGAACAAAAGAATCTTACGTAACACAGCACAATCTGGGCTCTTTTTCCAAGGCTGCAGGCCTGGCTGAAATATTCAGAAGTCAATGAATTTTACCTGTCAGCTTTAGAGTAGTGCCCTAAGAGTCTTTCCTTTTGGTATAAACAGCCATTAAATGAAATGATGAATTTTTGAAGAGTTTTGAAAACGGAAAATCTTGAAAATGAGCCGGCATCTTGTCTTGCTCAAGAAAAATCCACCCGGCAGCAAGTGGNTTTAATGATTTACCACCATTAGAAAAAGACATCTATGAAAGAAATGCAGCAGCAAGAGAAAATGCAACAGCAGAAGAAAACCAAATTGCTGCAAAACTCGCTGTGAAGTTTATGTTGTTTCTACTTGTTGTTAAATGTACAAAGTGACTT